TAATTTCAAAGTTGAAGAGATGAATCTACGATTTTATCAATGATAAATTATACATATTGTTCATGATTGGGTGACCAGAAAGATTGTAGCTCCCTAGAATTCATCATTAACGAAAACATTATACAACTAATTACCAGTCATGCCTTTTGCTCGTATTTTCTCTTTGTACTTGTATTTTTCGAAGAAAGTGCTGTTTCAAAAATAATAAATGTTAATAATCTCCAAAAATGCAATATAGCTTAACTATGCATAGAAAAAAAATCATTATATCGATTATCTGACATAGTATTATTAGATCGTCAGCGGCAAAAATACTTTTTAGAAACCGAAGAGTTGTTGTTTGACATTTTTGGAATTCTTAGCTTTTACTGTGATCGTATATCAATCATTTCTGCCAGAGTCTGTGATGAGCTGTTTCCTGCTTGTCTATCATATCTGTATAGAAGTCCAACTTTAAACCTTTACTCATCAACATTTCTTTTAAATCATGTTTGACAAAAACAATCAATAAATGATAATATGATTAAACATACCTAACATCATCATATTTATACATGTCAAAAGCAGTCGGATGACAAGCCATATGACGATCAGGAATTTTTTTAAATATTGATAAATTCCAAAAGCTACTTGGAACTTGTGTTAAATTTAATGAAACAAAAAATCTATCAGCATAATGAAAGATGTTTTCTTCAGTGAAATTCTAATTATAAAAAAGACAAAGCATAAAAAGAATTTTTTTATAACCAAAAACAAAGTAAACAAACTTTTTGTTTCATCGTTGGTCCTAGATCAATGTTTTTGAGATGAGGAAATGGTAGAACATCTTGTACAAGATATGTCATCATTGAACCAAATATGTCTTCTACATTAGATATATAAATATTAAGATAATCATTTTTTTTCTTTTATTATTTCGCACTTGTTAAATGAACTGGAATAGGTTGATCAAGTTGAATAAGGCCAGGATATAGTTTGGCCATTTTTTGTCTTACATAAGCATGTAATAGACGATGTAGTGGTTTCAATTCTTGCCATAATTGTTCAACGATCCGACGTTCTTCATTATTTGTTATTAAATCAGTTTTATCAGTTAAACCTTAGCAAAGAAAAATAAAAGAAATGTTCAAACACAAAAAAAAAACAAATAATTCAGGACAATAAGAAGATTCTTTCATAGTTTTTATTTGAAACGATATATAAAACTGATTTGATTACTCATAAAGGTCTCAAAGCAAAACATGAAATTCTCCTCTCTCTTTCATTTTAGTTGTTATTTGATAAATTGAGTCACATTAAGATATTATTCGACATAATGTACAAATATTTACAAACAGAATTTAATGATAAAAATCAATTACGATCGCAGTTGAGTAATGTCAGTTTCTTATCAATGCATACCTAAAAAGCTAAATGAGATCTCTTATACATTGAAATAATATTATTAATTTAGTGGATAGATTTCTAAAGAGCGTATTTTTTTTGCTTCTGTCATAGATCAAGATGAAGACAGTTGCATTCTTCTAAGAAATCTTATGGGAATGGATAAAGACAAGATTTATTTCTGTACATTAACCAAATGGTGACTTTTACAGATTAAGTGAAAGCAAGAAGACAAAAAGTCTGTTTCTGTGTCGTTAGAATCAATCAAAACACTTGAAGTCAGCGGGTGTTCCTTCACTAGAAAATCGTTCTAGCCAATCGTAATATTCAATATGAAGACTAGAGAGTTACCATTACGTTACCAGTTATCCAGTAACGAGTAACAGAGACTTTGGGAGTTTATCAAGAAAAGACTATTTTTCAAAATAAATAATCACTTAGAAAGTTTGATCAAAGGTTTTCGAGCTCGAATCATCCAAATATGTAAATGGGTTCTTGAAATTGTATATTTGATTTCTCGGTATACTAGAAGCTATTTTAGGACACTTGATCGAGAACTTTAGTTTACACAGTTTCAGATTTCTGAACACCGAAGATCTTTGACTGAACTTTATAAAAAGCTATTATCTTCCTCCGATAATTACTCTCTGACGAAAAAAAATCAAATTCACGAATTTGTCGTTATCAGCTGTTTGGTAGCATAAGAATAATTTTCATTTTCTATTCCGGTGACCAAATTCATTTTAAAGCCATTGAAATTATGAAATCAGCTGTATTCCCCTTACAATGATCATTCAGCCCAAATATTTCAACATTAGGATCATGGAATACGAGGAGCAAACAGTATAGATATTAAACCGGATGAATAAATAAGAATAATGTCTCTAACTACAAGTACAATGAAAAGAAAACATAAGTATAATAAAATAGACTAATCAAATTTCAAGAAAATATATAACTCTTGATACTTATTCTATTTACGATATACTGTTTGAAAATATTTTAATTAATTTATGTCGATAATATCTTTTAAATTTGTTTGTATTAAATCGATTTTAAAATAACGAAGGACATTAGATATGAGAATGGGTTACTGCTAAGATACGGTTCTGTTTGGCCTGTTGATTTTGTGTAGCAATTAATGTTGAATAACAATCTCGCATAGGTTTAGCCACTTCATAAGTTGCATTCCATAATGAAAGAAGATCATCGGGTGATTCAAGTTTACCAAGTACTTCTTGTACTTCTACAAAATGATAAGTTAATTCTTTCTTTGGTATCTAAATAAATAAACAAACCATCAATGCTTAATTGTGTATTATTCCAAATAAATTTTCGATGATAAATTTCTTTCATACGATTTCTTAATTTTTGTATTTCAAGTTTAATAACTGTATTATTCTCGCCCGCTTCACCAATAGCTTGAGTACGCAATAATAACCAACGTAATGATGTATGGTTATTATTTAATAAAGATTGAAAATGTCGCGCAACCATAGCAATTGTTTTTAGACAAGAACGATAATGTTCATAATATTTATCCTGAATTCAAAGAAAATAAGAAATATCTATCATAAAAAAAAGTAAACATTTACTGTTGTGCGCTTTTTACTGGAATCGTTCAAATTCAAATGTGTTTGAAATTCAGCTGATGATGTTATATAAGCTAGACTTGTTAAATTTTTATCATATTCATCCAAAACTGATTTAGCCTAGATTATTAATATAGAGAGAAACTAAGATTTCGCCCGTTTCAAGGGTACATCATCAATTACCATAATAAGTTTTATTTCTATGAATAGTTATTATACTTCGTAGAGCTCAGCAATATGTATTTTCATTAAAAAACATTTTCTCAGCTGCACACCTTTAGACAAAACCATAGTTCTAAGCTTCTGTTCAGCAAGATGACATATTGCTGAGCACTAAGCTTTAATGAATATGCATACGAATAAGCGCTAATGGAGATTAACCCTTTACGGCCGGATGTTGCCAAATGGCAACATTTTGCTAATATTATCTTAGGATTTATCTTAAAGTGATGAGATATAGTTTCTTAAGCGATTTGATAATTAATTACATGCATTTTAGGGCAAACCTATGCCTTTTCAAGAAAGGAGAAAGCTATTATTGACGAGAGGGCTGAATTCTCCCGTCAACACCCGAAACAGCCCCCGAGTCGAAATGATCTGTTTTCCATTTGTGCGAGCACTCGATGCGAGAAGTAACTAGTGGTTAATTTTCCTCTCCAGATCCATTATCTATTATATCAATAAGATAAATCATTCAGTTTACTCGAAGAATAGAGTACAAGAATGTTGCCTTTTGGCAACATCCGGCCGCAAGGGTACAAAAAAGTTGGGAATATTGAATTATTTTTCCTCGATGGAAGTCCAACAATTTGCTGTTAGTTTTAGTCCAGATTATCAAACAAAGGCATACTTTGTTTATCTGCCCACCTCTTACAGCCTCAATGTGCGATATATTCCCATAATACTCAAAAACTTTCCGAGATAGTGCACATTGCACCTATTTTCTCCAGAGAAGCTCACAAATTCAGCGAGATTCTAACAAGATTTACAGTACATCATAGTATTCCTATTCAGACTACTATAAAACATTACTAGTCTTGTTAAAATCTTACTAAATTCATGGGCTTCCCTAGGGAAAATAGGTGAAATTTGCACTATTTCAGAAAGTTTTTGAGTATTTTGGCAATATATTGCACATTGAGGCTGTAAGAGGTAGGCAGATAAACAAAGTATGCTTTTGTTTGACAATCTGGACTAAAACCAACAGCAAATCATTGGACTTCCATCGAGGTAAAATAATTCACTTTTCCCAACTTTTTGTACCCTTGCGGCCGGTTGTTGCCAAAAGGCAACATGTTGGCATTCGGCTCAGTATCAGTTCTTTTAACTCCAAGATGGATTTCGGTAACCTCCACATCTAAGAGACAAAGAATATATAGAAGGAGAATTTTTTGCTTGCTATCTTCTGGTAGCCGGCCGTAAAGGGTTAATGAGGGAAATTTCGGTTCGATCCGAGAATTCTGTGGACCAAAATTCAAATAACTATAAATATCATTATTCAATAGAGTATAATAATACAGTATGATGAAAAGAACTATGCAAGAAATGATCGTCTGATTAGTGAACATTTATTTTGTATCCTCGAAACGATTATAATCTAAAAAATTTTGAAGAAATCTCGACAATCAGTATTCTAAAAATTTTCTTCATTAAGTAATGTTCTCATAAATTTACACATCTCCGAATTACCAGAAGTGTCTCAATGTTGCGTCCTGTGAATTGCAATGTAAAATTCGACAATGTTGACTTTTTTTTAATAAATGAGATCGTTGTTGGGATATTTTCTTAGCTTGATGTGTTTTCATAACAAAAATATGTGTAATCATAAAGTTTTTTTATGGCATATAGAGAATGGATTTATCAGCAATAGTCTATTGTCAACTAATCTTGATCTACACTAATATATGTCACATGATTGATGACAAAGAGGATTGTTGAACTCAAATGTCTCCCTATCTACTTGAATAGATCAACAAGCATCTTGTTAAAAAGTCAATATTTATATACTAGGTAGCATATAGTATTTTTCCAGAAGTGGGCACCAATATTATTTCAAATACAGAATGCAATAAATTTTATATCGAATAAAAGCTCGTCAAAAACGGGACTTCTTAGTAATAAATAATAAGAAGTCTGAAGACTATCATGTGTCAAATTATCTAAATTTGTAATATTTTACTGAATATAGGTATGAGAAAAACTATTCATGGAATGAAGTTCAAACTGTATATGGTAGAATATTAGGTTTATTTTTTCATTATTTAATGCATGCAATCAAATCTGTCATACAGAAGGGTTCAAGTTGTTTCATATTATTGTGAAATCGCTAAAATCCGAAAGTTATATATCAGATCGATTATGGCTATAAGATTGACTAAAATATTTGACCTCAGGAGACTTCCTTCATCTCGCACCATCTAATTAATTTTATGTAAGGATCGTTTACAGATCAAATTATCAGAATGAACGAGTTTGGGCAAGCAGTAGCAAAGATATTGAACAAAATAAAAGATACTGTGATATTGTTAAAAATCAAGCGTATATTGACATTTTTGTTATTTTTTCTGACAAGATATTGTATTGGGTTATGAAAGAGAAAGATGAATCTTGGTTTGGTCAATACTTTCGTGACATAATTTTGATTCGAAACATATTTTCTTTCTTAAAGAGTCAAGACACTGTTATAACCATTGATGAAGTTGTATGTAGCTATGATAAAGCAGAATATATACTACAGAAACAAATACTGAGCTTTTTGAAACTCCTCTATGTTCGTATTCATGTTGACTTTATGCATTTAAGAACTCTCACGATTGTCACAGTGATTATTGAATGCGTTTACTAAATGATAAAAAAGAATAAACCTAATTTTGTATCATACTTAGTTCGAACTTTATGTCATGAATAGTTTTTCTCATACTTATACTCGGTAAAATATTACAAATTTAGGTAGTTTCACACGGGCGTCTTCATACTCCTTATGATTTATTCCTAATCAATTCTGTTTTCTGTGATCATTCATTTAATATAAAATTTATGGTTTATTCTATCTGAAATCATAGCAGTGCCTCTCAGGAAAAATATAATTTCCTACCTGGTACAGAAATTCATAGAACAAGAAGAAGAAGAATGTGATCGCTACAAATCTTTATATAAACCTTGACGTTCTCTTGTCTTTTTTGACTTAAAATTTTTTGTGTTTTTTTTATTTTCAATTTTTTAGTGACTATCCTATAGTTTAGGGTGGTACCTATATACTGAGTACATTTTGGGATCTGATAATAGTTTTTCAACATTAAAATATCAAATTAGCGAAAATTATGCATTGTTTTGCGTTTTTTCAAACCAACTTTTTCTTTAGAAAAAAGGTGCAAAAATGCCGACATTTCTCCAGTCTCGTACGTCCGATTGAGCCGAATCATTTTTCACATATACTATACAATGTTTGGGAAGGGTATTTTTTTTTCTACATCAAAACATATTATTCTTCTGATTATTGGTACTTTTTACAACAAAAAGTTATCTTCAAAAAACAAAGAATGCATTTTTTCGGGTATCTTTTATATTTTGGTTTCTTCTATCCGAAGGATAAACAACTAATAAAAACATCCTCATCCCAAACAATGCTTAGTGTATGCAAAAGACAAATTTTCAGCTCGATCGAGCATAGCATCTTGGAGAAACGAAGGCTATTGTGGTTCCAATATCTCATGGAAGATAGCACCCGTTAGCATTGAATCCATAACAGCTTTTTTTCTCTACTTGTCAAGATCTATCTGCCCTGAAAATTTCTAATTTTTTGTATGAGTTGTTCTCCGATGATTCTGAAAACGGAAGGGAGTACTATTAATGATGTTCATACTAAAATGTTTTACTATAAATAAAATATTTATTCAATATAATAATAATCTATTTACAAATTGTTCTTGTTCCTTGATAGTCATTCGTTCTAGTTTTTCACGATTAATATTAATATCATTACATTGCACAATATCTTCGACTTGTTGACAGTAAATATTTAATATAAGAACAAATAAAATAATAATATTAATAAAAATTCTCATAGTAATCAGCATAGTAATAAATACGTCCAGCAGTAAGATGTTGATAATAACTTTTTTCTATATGTATTTTGTTTGGAATATAATAATATTTTTGTATCTTTTATGTAAATGACTGACGATCGACAGCTAGATATACAAAAAATTTTTTGTCCTAACAAGATTGATCGCCTAAAGCAGTCACTATCAGCGTTGGAAATATGTTTATCGATACAACCAAGCGTCAAAGTTATTCATGCAGATAGAATGACTCTATACTATGCAGTTAAGTATCGAGCTGTAAAATAACTTTCATCTGCTATTGACTTTTTCATGGCAACAGAACAAGCTAAAAATGGGAAATTAGTATTCAACCTATTTCTTCTTTTTTTTTATCAGAGATAAATCGATCTGTAGAGCAAATACTTTGCTTATAGTAATATTCTCCTATTTAATATCAAGTTATTCACATAATTATTTATCATTGTTACAGAAATAATTCTTTTTCTTTTTATTCTTATTATTACAAAACCCCATTGCCCAAGAAATACACATGTCAAAAAAAAAAAGAATTATTAATTTTGATTAACAACAACCACTTTTTTTTGTTTTTAATGATAAATTAATGATATTTTCACCTTTGCGTAATCGATCATCTTTTTCTTGCATCAATCTCCAAAAAAATAACAAGTCAGAAATATAAAAGAATTTTAATGACAAATTACCGAGCAATTGTTTCCATTATTTCAATAACTGATATACCTAATCGAGCACTACTTTCAAAGAATAAACATCGATATTCCTATAAATAAATAAAAAAATATATTAATTAAAAACAACAATAAGAAAAAATTAAATTTACATCAGCTAATTTTGCTCCATCTTTATATTTGACAGGTCTTCGTTCATCATCAGTACATAAATCAGTTTTATTACCGACAAGAACTATAACACAATCTTCATCAGTTAATTCCTATAATTATATTTTTAATTAAGAAGAAAGAAAACTTTTTTTTTTCCAATAAAAAGAAGAAATATACTTGAGTACATGCTATCCATGAACGAACATTTTGAAATGTTATTTCAGATGTAACATCATAAACAAGTATAATTCCATCAGATTTACGTAAATATTGTTTAGTAATA